CCCACACACACACACACACACACACACACACACACACACACACACACACACACAGATCTCACAATGGAGGACATTTGTTTACAGGAGCATCTGTAGACCGGTCAAACAATTAAAAAAAGTCGTCTTCTACAATGCAGTCCTGACCACATCTCGTGCAGCAGAGGAAATTAGAAAATGCACTGAAACACAGCAAGACCCCCTCCACGGCCTTACATTCAGATGCTCAGATACATTCAGGTCACCTCTTTGAAGATAAATAAGAGCAGAAAACACACAATGAGAAACCACAGCGGTATTGATCGATCAAGATGCTGAAATGGAAGTATAGTGCAGGCAGCTCAATGGCATGCAGTGTGGAGGAGGCGCCAAGATGCAAGGTGGTGGTGCGGCCTTAATCCTGGAAACACTGCTATGGAGAGGTCAGTGCCGTGGAGGAAAAACAACACATTTGTCAACGTACAACACACGATACTCTCTATTGACTACATGGGAGGCAAAGTTAATCGTCATGACAACTCAATGTGCACTTCGAGCAAATGACATTCATCATTTGGCACAGGGGCATGGGCAAATGTGCACACACACATACACACACTCCTGCTGAAAGATTTGCAAAAGGGGTTTCCTCCTTCTCCTGCAGGGCAGACCACGCCTGATGTGTGAGTGTAATCTATGGGCGAGGCTTCTATAGCTCCCAAAGTATCTGTGTGAGATTAATAGTGTTTTCAGCCTGGATCAATAGTCTGATATGGCGTCTGAATACAGCGAGGCCGATCTGTGCTCCTGGAGTCTGATCCGGCTCCTGCTTTCTATCGATCCTCCCTCAGAGGGGGTGATGTTATTGCATAGCTGTGTTTTCAGAGAGAGAAAGCTGGAGGTAAACACAGGAGGAGAGGGAGATAGCCTCTGTCTGTGTCAAAGGTCACATTGGACACATAGCTTAAATGTGACCATGAACTTAATATTTGTAGCTGTGTATCTGAAGACTCTGCTAAGGGACCAGTGTGTGTCTGCTTTGAGGAATAGTGATGTGGTTCTGAGGACAAAGCTTACTTCTTTTTTAACCTGCGGTCCTTCTCAGCCTGAGTGCCCAGCTTCCCCACGCCCATCTCCTGGCCCGAGTCTGGGTCCATCATGGTGGCTGAGAGAAGAGGAGAGACACCGGATATCAGTTAATACTAACCGGATATCAGTTAATACTAACTGAACACAATACTTTTTTTGTGATTATATTTGCCTATGATTACAATAATAACTTATATTTTTCCCTCAATTTCTTATCAGGTTTTGATACATTTTTACAGGTTTCAACAAGTTAAATTAAAGATATAGAATAAAAGTCCTGAATCATTGACACATTTCAATAGTTTTATATTGTATATCAGCAATCAATCTATTAGTGTTAGTCAGATTATTGGGTAAATTAAGCAAAACTCATTTAAAAATCCCAGGACTCTCTTGATTTTGACGAGAGTAAAGCATTGATTTTTAGAACTATTAAATAGTTTTTCAAACAAGTATGTAGGATTGTATATGTGATGGATGACCTAATGTTACTGCACTACATTATTTTATTTCATTCCTGTAAAAAAAACACAATTTTTATACCACATGGCAATTTGTTGTATGATTAATCTGCAGCATCCTTATTGTTAAAGCATGACTCAGCGCCCACCTTGTGGATCTACCATGACATGTCTGTGTGCCATATGTCCCATCCTGCCCTTCTCCTTCTTGCCAAAGAGCCGTCCGATGGAGGATTTGATGCCCTTCTTCTTTGGCTGCTTGCTCAGGGAGTCTTGGCTGCTGCCGACGCTGCCGCCCTCCGCCTCCAGAGAGGACCCCATCCTGACACACAACCACAACCACACACACAACCACAACCACACACACACACACACACACACACACACACACACACACACACACACACACACACACACACACACAGAACATGGGTAAAGCTTTTTATACATTTCAGAGTCAGATTATTTCTCAAAGGTCAACATCTTTAGATCATCATTAATACCCTTGTGAAAAATATTTATTTTTGAATAATTATGAGAATAGAGAGTTATTCTCTTCAAGAATCATCACCTTACTTACCATTTCTTTTTTGCAGCATTTGCCACTTTCCCCGAATTTGCTTTTCTAAGCCTATTTATCCACGCTCTTACTGAAGACTCATGTAATACAGTTTCTACTGCCTGTGCTTCATGTTTGAAAAAGTACCCAGATTATTTCTAGTGGACGTTAAAATTATGCCTCCCAGAATTCCAGCTACTTCTGAATAACACATCTTATTTCCCATCCATATCAACCTTACACTTTTACAAGAAAGACTATTATTAGCAACCGAGATAGAGATACAATCAGATAAAACCTCTCTTTATCAGTTGGTAAATTAAATAAATAGTTATGAAAGTAGCAGTAAGAAGTCTAAACATGAATTAATACCAGACTCCGACAACAGGATTTCAAACATTTATGTTTGTACAGCTGACGCCTACCCTCGTGAGTCGTTGTGCGAGGAGGCTGGCAGTGTGTGTGTCATTCTGACGGTGCGGGGCGTGGTGGGGGGGGACGTCTCACACTTGATGGTGGCCTTGTCCTCGTGGCCGTCCTCGTCTACCGCTGCTATCTGAGGGACGAAGAGGAAGAACGGGGCGTTAGACGTGACCCTCGGTTTGTGAATCACCCATTTATCTAAGGTGTTGTCACAGCGATCATATTATTAAACAGTGAGTTGATACTGTGTGTACCTTTCTCCTGTGCTTCCTCAGGTCACTGGGCTGTTGGGCAGAGAAAAGAAAACACAAAATGTATTATTTAAAGAAGGGATAAAAATCACTTTCATGTTGATAATAAAAGTCAAACAATGATGTTTATTACAAGTTAACGGCCGGAGAATTCATATCACAAGTCACAGCAGCAAAAGGTTCTGACTGCACTGGTGGGTTGCCATGTCAATTCTGCCCAGCCTATCTCTCGATAGACCTTTTAACTATTTTACAGAGAGTAAACAACATATTTGGGGAGATAGACTAAACAGCTGGGCACCCTCAATCACTTGCGTCTGACCCTTAATGGCCTTGAAGCCAGCGTTCCCACAGCCGTAAACCATTTTGTGACCGAGAGTTGAACTGGTTTATCAAGATGGCTGGAGCCTCCCATTCCTTAAGAGAGATACCAGAGCCAGGGTTGGTCGTAAACGTCAACACACAGAAAAGGTTACATTTCTAGGAGTAAAGACAGAATTATTCCCTCACATTACGATGCTCTTGAGCCTTTGTCCAAAACCACAGCATCAACTCATAAATCAATAAAGTAGAATAAAGGTAAGCATGTTGTTTCACTGATTAATACAATCAAAGCATTGCTCCATTAAAGCTTCTGGATAAAGCACACATAATCTTTTGTTCTGGTGGATTATGGGAACATATGTTAATATCTATTTAGGTAATGGACACATCTGGAGTGTGAACATATCATTTTCTATTCTTAGAGGAACTGCAAGAAACGTAATGTGACTATCGAGTTGCATTATACATAAGCTGCTATGGACATATGGTATCGTTTGCACAAGGAAGTGAGATACACATTCTAGAAAACACATACTGTAACTCCACTTACTTACAAAAGTGGTATGAAAATACATCTCAAACTCAAATCAACACCACTGTGTGATGTGAGGAAAGCAAATCCCTTAAGGACGTAAATCACAGCACTACAAATAAGAGTCAGACATGTTTTGTAATTGGGTTCCTCACAAGGTCATTTTTCAAACTAGCGGTTGCTCTTGTAATAATATAGTTGATTTTGTATGGATTTCTTTTTGCAACAAAACTGGAGGCTTCTGGATGCTGGACTTGATATCTTACAAAACTGGAGGCTTACTGTAAGGCTCGCCAAGATAAACAGAAGATGAAAAATACAAGCAAATAGTCTTCTCGCTTCTGCATATTTACCTGCTTCTTTGACTGCTCATACACATATTCACCCCTAGTCAAAACATGTCTAGACTCCAAAAAACTAAAACAAGGGCACCACCTAAAGATTAAGATGTTTTAATCTGCCTGGCGTTACCTACGGCTAACTTAAATGAAGGACATTCTAATATCAAAATATGTATACAATCGAACATTTGAATGTATCAATATATGTATACACTTTAAACATGGGAATCAGTTCAAAAAATTACAGTTGTGATATCTCAAACACCCTTTCTCTGTATGAGTTTGACCCAATTGATGTAATAATGTGTCTTACTTACAAAATAAATACAAATTGCTGAATAACGCTTCAACTAAAAGTTATTCTATTGTTGTATCCTATTGTAACATCCAAGAAAATGCTGATTTGGTTTAGATTAAATTAGATTAGATGAGTATACTTTATAAGAAGTAACACGTTTTGACAGTTTAAAAACAAATAGAATGAGTAATATGCTAGTCAATCTGTTCCTGAACCTTCAGGTCATGGACAGGTGAGTCCTGTGGTGATGGAGAGGAGATCTACATGTAGTACAGCAGCTCACCAGTGTCATGACCCCCATGCGCTCCATGTCCCGTGCGGGGCTTCGAGGGTCCAGCTTGGGGGTGGAGTGTCCGCTGGGCGGGGAGGAGGAGGCGAGGGAGGAGGCGGTGGCTGAGGCGGTGATGGAGGCTCCGTGGTGGTGCATGCGAGCCAGGTTCAGGCCCTCCAGGCTGACACTCGCCACCCGGTTTTCAATCTCCTCCGCCCGCAGCTCCGTCGACTCCTTCTCCTCCTGGATCAGCCTTCGAAGATGATTCAGATTATAAATTAGTTGATGAATTATAATTTAAATGAAACGTATTCCTTTAATAATTATTTTGAGCGTTTTGTATAATAATTTGTATTTATTTATGTGGGCTTTATGTTTTTTGCTCCACTTAAAAAACAAAACTGCTTTCAGATTTAGCACGTCACTTATTCACCCTGTAAAGAAATGAGATTCTTTAATTTAGTTAAAGGGATAATACATGTATGGACAAACAAAGGTAATAAATAAAAGGAACATCTTGCAATACAGAAATTGTAACATCCAATTGCGATATTTTCCAGCTTGAAATATAAAAATGGAATCTTTTAATCAGTATCTCGTCTACATAGTTTAGAGGTAGATTTCTGGAGATTTATGTAACAAACTCCATTAATTACCTACAGTATAAGGCGGGCTAATTCAAGGCCAAAGTGAGGAGATAAAAGGCTAAAAGTCAGATTAGTTTCAGCCATACCGAGGGTTTAACTTTGTAATTAGCAGAGACTCCTTGCAGTCATGATCCCTATCTGCCATCAGATTTAAATGAACTCTTCCTGAAAGAAATGTGGCACTGTGTCTATCGATTGGGATGTAAATTAGCCAAGACCAAAAGTCACATTAAGAACCCTTGAAATGAAGAACTGTGCAGAGCCTCAGTGGGGTTATGAATACTTATCAGCACAAGGTAATTACAGCATTAACAAGCGAGACGCAGATTTCCTGAAACATTTAGTGTCTATGGTTTCATAAACAGGAAGAGTGATGGTACAGTGAAATTCCAAAAAGCCATGTAGAAAGAGTAATCTCCTAGGTCAAACACAAAAGAAAAATGCACAGCTTCCTGGGAATTAATCTTTAAAACACGTCAAGTGCGAACCTGATTTAAAGCAGAATAGGAGCACATTAATATTAACTGAACATTGTGTCAGGTACCGGATCTCCTTGTTGATAGCGTCGAGCTGCTCCTGCAGCATCATGGCCAGCGTTTGTGCGTCAGAGTGTCCGCCGGGTGAGAGCATGTCCATGGAGCTGAACATCGTTTCCCTGTCGTCGTCATCGATGTCCGACATCTCCGTGTCGCTCTCGAAGTGATGGCCCAAAACCCCGAGCTGCTGCGAACGCCACTCATGCTCCCCCAGAGATTTAGCCTGCACAGGAACACAGGGGATTTCAATTGAATACATTTCAAATATTGGGGGAATTGCAGTTATCCAAAGGTAACTCAAACATATTTCCTTAATTTAATCAAAAAAAATGTCTGTCCTCTAATGAGACTTTTTATTAGAAGCTACTAGGTAATTACAATACAATATATTTAGCTGGCGCTTTTATCCAAAGTGACTAAATTATGTTCTTATAATATTTGTATGATACATTTGTTCTGCAAGTAAATTAAACTTAACTTAACTAGTTTCCTAATAACTTAATTAAACACATTACAGACAACATTATGGAAACACATTTGATTTACACCTTACTTGTAGCAAACAAAATTATCCTCATAACTTACTTCTATGTCCTTAATGTCTCAACATAATAGGCATGCAACATAATATGTTTGTTAAGTACTTTAAGGTTTTAATTTAGCTTTAAAGGGACACGATATGATTCATGGTTTGTTCTGCACAGCACACTGATATTTGCTGAACAGAAGTAATTTTTTCCTGGGAGAGGCTTGTCTGGACTCTTCCCCTGCTGGCTCATTAAATCAAACTGTGTGCCACTTTAAAAAGAGATGAGACAAGCTGATCTCCTCCACTGTTTACTCTCTTGGTGATGATACATTTCGCAGTAACAACATAGAAAATCCTACGCCAGCCCGGTCTCTCGTCACCAAAACTGCACGAATGAGATGATCCAGCAAAAGTATGACAGACCAGATCTCCTTTTAAACTTAAACTTGGCTTTATCTCTCCCTATGCATATCATAATGCAGGTCAAATTGCCCTTAATTCATATTGAACCTGAAATATATTGGAGACTTTAAGAATTGGCTACGGCCTCAAAGTTCTCAAGATTTTGTTCTACTGCATGTGCCAACTTCTAACTTAAAGAGCTTACAACAGGGAATTTATAAATAGCGAAAGTAGAAAAATTATATTTAGAAAAGGTTAAGAAACTAATGCAGAAGTGCTTAAAATAATTTTTCAAAGCTAATGTACCCGCAGGATTCTTGCTTTTTTTTGTTTGTATCTTAATGGATAACACAAATTATTATGAAGAAGACTCCCTGCCTCACCTTGGTTTCATGCAGACCCACTCGACCTCTCCTCGGCCGCCGGATGACCTTGGCTGAGCGGTAGTGGTCCGACTGGGTTTCAGCCAGCGATCCCAACGAGAATCGGAGCTCAGCTGATGTGTCCAGATGAGACCTGAGAGAAAAATAAAATCCATAGTAATCCTACATGTCAACTTAATATGAATGTGGGTTCATAAAAACATCTAGATACATTAAAGAAGAGATTTATCCTATGCAGGTACTGTGCCTGAGATGTTGATTGATTACAAAAGATGAGGCAAACATTTCAGCTATGCAGACAAACCAATCAAATCTTATGTTTTGGTTCTTCAAGTGCAGTAATAGTTGTAACAATCATGTTGTGTACAGTGTACTTTTGAAGGATCAGCGAGCATTATGTATGCCCCAATTGCTGCAAATTGCTTGTATAGTGTATGCAGGAGATGAAGCCAGCTACTGTCAACACATCAGGGATGTAATATTAGATCTTCATGTAGCAGGAAAAAAAGATATTCCAAGAATAGATACGGAGAGTTCAGCGAAAGCAGTGATTCTAACAATAGCGCAGAGCAAATTCTTTCATCAGTGACGGATACAATAAAAGCACCTCTGCTGGGAGAAGATCTTTTGCATGTTAAAAACAGGTTTTATTAGATTTGTATTGAATCTTAGGCAATGTCACCAAATAACAAAGTAATGGAGATGCTTTCTTAACTGTAATAGCTATGTAAAATATCATATGAAAAGTTATTTTTAAGAAGTAAAATATATGTTATCACCAGATGAGGCACAGAAAGCCTCTCCTTAGTCTATCTGTCTGTAAAACGTAGCCGACAGTCAATTGTATAGTGAAGATTTTCAGGGTCAAGTGGTTTGAAATCTCATATGGCTTCAATTCTATAGTATACTTAGCCTGCAAAAAACATAGAATCCAAACCCCCACACACACACACACACACACACACACACACACACACACACACACACACTGAGCCAACCTACCGTGACAGGGTGGGTTCTGTGAGGGATCCTGCCCTCAATCTGAACTGGTCCAGCTCTGATCTCAGTTTATCAATCTCCTCTGCCAGATGTGTCTGCACAAAACAATTTGACAAAAGACGCCATTATAGAACCCGTCTATGATATTAAACTCTAAAGAATGATTATCATATCGTGAATTATTAATATTGCTGCCCGTCGACACTGTGGAGTCACATAGCTGAGAGCCATTGTGGCTTATTATCTTCACATTGCTGAATATTTACATGCTGCTTGGAAAATACTTACGCATTAAAATTATGAGCATATAACTTGACAGAGGGTGTCGTATTGTCATACTGATATTCTGTACAAACTGTGAAGTCCACTGAGACAAATGTAACATTTGTGATATTGGGCTATATAAATAAACATTGATTGATTGATATAACTTCAGATATTAATAAAAAGAAAGTAAATGCCCACAACCAACCTGATTATCTTCCCATTAAAAATAGATTAATGAAGCAACCTTATATAGATGTAAGAGCTTACTTACTTTGACATGGATTGAATCTTCGTACTGTTTTCTGTAACCTTCAGAGTCTTGGATTAACAAATTCTGCAAAGAAAATGGAGAAAAAAGTTAGAGGGGAAAAATCCCACCTCTTCCTGACATTCACTTGACACAGCTAATAGATATGTTTCCAAGGACAATAGCAGCCATCTTGAACCTTCTCCTCGAGCGCTGCCATCCTCTCCTTCAGATGGAGCTGAAGTCGCTCGTTGGACTCTGTGAGGAGCCGGTCCACCGTGTCCGACAGACGCTTGTTGTGCTCTTCATTCATCTTCTCTCTCTGTCGAGCCTGGAGGCAGTCAAGGAAACCATTGAAGAGTTATATTTCAAGGTCATATCAACTGACTTTTTCTAAACATGAACCCCCAAAATCTATTGCATCAGTTTACCAGCTGAGGAAGGTACAACCAGAAATACTGTGTTTGAAGTAAACAAATATTGTGACCTCAAAGAATAAACTCGAAGGTTTACTGCCAACAATATTATGGTAACAAGAAATGTCTAGTCTTGAATTAATGAAATAATTGTTAAGACATACAGTACAGCTGATGCTAATGTGATCTAAAATAAGGAGCACAGTATTGCAACCTTTGTGAGTATTTGACGAACTGAGAGTGTGAAACGTGGATTTGGTGTCAGTGTGATGAAGCAGACAGTGTGTCGTGCCCCTGCAGCGGGCGTGGCTGCCTGGCATATCCTCTCCTCGCTGACTCACCCGCAGCAGCTCCTGGTTCTTCTCCTCCAGCTGGCACTCCAAGTGCCTCATTCGCTCCTCAATGCTCCCGTGACGCTCTTCCGCCTACAGATGGAAGAAACAGCACACACAGGACAAAAGAGGGCACGATGATCTGAATGTTTGACAGGCTAAGAGCAACAAAGAAAAGCTGTGGCGACGACACAAGCCAAAGCCTCCACCCATAACTCAAAGATGGATGTTTATTGTTTTAAAGCAGGACAGGAAAGAGAGCTAGATGGAGAAGGAGGCCACTAAAAAGGACAGAATGAAAGAGGAAGAGAGCTCCAGCCAGGCTAGCCATGCAGCTGTCCCGTGGTGAAACAGCCAGAGCCCCAGGAAACACGCTCGCCACCAAAAACAATAATAAGATAAATGAATGAAATCTGCTCTCTACAATATTGGCATTAGCTGTGACTCCTTGCGGGACTACCTTCCTAAGAATGGAGTTCATGTCTTCGAGTTTAGCTTCCATAACAAAGTGATAATCATCGGGGGAGGAGGAGGAGCTGGAATCAGACTATGTGGCCGAGGGAGAGGAGAGGGACATGTTGAAAGGTCATGACATGACACCACGTATACACTTACACTCACGTATAGAAAACATGAAGAAACGAGCGCACCTATGGGAATGTGTCAACAGTATGTGTGTTTAGGTACGTGTGTGTTGGTACCTTGGTGAGGGCTGCTATCCTTTGTGCAAGCTCAGCCTCCACCTCGGGCAGCGTCTCCGCCTTCCTCATGGTCTGCTGGAGCTTCTGCTCTGCCAGCTCTAGCCTCTCCTGTAGCTGCCGGTTCTTCTCCTCCATCTGCACACACACACAACATAAGTAGATATTCATTTGGAAGCTTTACGAGATTTTGCAAACTGCTACTTCTCCCATAGAATTTGTGTGGAATTGTCTTAACATCTTATGTCTTTCAAGCCTTTTATTAGTAGTTGTATCAACAGTAGCTTTACATTGGAAGCACGAAAGTTAGAATAGAAACTGACTTAGTGAGTGAAAATTATATTTCTGTTCAAACAAAACACAAGAAAATAAAGAGAAATGCATTTTCCAGAATCTTCTTTCATTTTTCTTGCACAAAAAAAATGGTTTTACCATGGATGTGTACTTATTTGATTTTATTAGTGTGCTTGCTTTGTTATTTAAAATGTTAACCCTTATGTATTTGCATAAGTGATGAGCTTGCAATTACAGCAATAAGCACAGAAATCAAATAAAACTAGAATATATAAAAGAAACAAGGAGATTTCTTACCAAAATATGATGGCTATTGTAAAACAGTTGAAAGTAGAAATAAGTAGTATTTTTCAATAGCTTGTTTAAAATAAATGCCAGCATTTCCGTGAAGTTAAATTGAGAATACTGTAGTATATGATATTTGTGTTTTCTTCACCTTATAACAGCCATTTTATAAATAAAAGAGACTTCTGTGAATGTGTGTTTATCTTTATAATGTCAGCAGAGCGTCATGGCCTGGTAGAAATAGAATCACAGATATCTTTCGTAGGAGTACTGGCTACTGAAGGCATTGGCAGCGAGCCTCAACCCTTCTCTAAAATAGCACCATGACAGAGTGAGAATAGCAGCAGCCCGGCACTTGCCAAGAGTGACAATGGCAACTTTTAGTCAGCAGAAACCGGTAATTGCCCTTATTAAGCATTCAAATAGATTAGAAGGTGGAAATGAATCCCAGCATGCACTGTGACGCTGCCAACAAGAACTTTTTATTTCCCTATTGCGTGTCGAGACTTTTTTCTCTGCCTTCCTCGGGCTCTGATCACTTTAAAGACTCTTTTTTTGGGGCTGGATTGGCAGCCTTTCCCTCCAGCGCCAGATGCTCTGCTCCCAAAAGCATCAGGACTGGCAGCTCAATAACCAATAATTAGACTGGAGTCATCCAGCGGTGTGTTGTATTGTGTGATGTTTTCTAAGATGACACTGTGAAAGCATGACAGTGTATTTTTGCTTCCGATCTCCCCCCTAGGTGCCCTTCCATCCATCTTTATTTTTGCCTTTTTTCCCATCCTCAAACACCGGCAGACTAGTTCAGTTTCTGGCAAAACAACAAGTAAACTCATCACACAGCCAGCGAGGAGGAAGTGTGTTTCTGTTTGGTAGAAGAAGCTGAACCCAAAGGCTTTGGAGGTTATTTCCAGAGTAGGTTCCTAGACGCATGGTGAATGTGTTGCTTGGGTCAGCAGCCAGTTCAACCCAGTCTCATGGCATTTCGTGTTAAAGTCACAAAATGTAATCTATTGATTCGTGTTCACCAACACGATTTCCCCCTTTTTTTCGTGTCACACAGAACGATTTTAAAAGCAATGTATTTCTATTGGCAGTATGTTTCGTGCCTGCACCACGTCTTTTTGCTGGTCGGGTTTTGGAAGACCAGAAGCTGTGTGGTTCATAAAAACATTTTCTTACTCAATATCAAGCCACGATAATTGTTTTTATTTAAAATTCTATAATCTCTGACTTTTTTTGCCGTCCGTGAGGAAAATAAATGGGGCTAGGTTAGCAAAAAGCAAGTTAGCTTAAGTTAGAATAAAGCCTGGAAATGACTACGCTGTTCTTTGGTAACAACATAACACTTCAGTTTGTGTATGGATTGAATAAAAAAGACATACTGTGTTAATTTGTGAGCTTTAAGTGCTCAAAGTCAGATTCTGATAGCTTTGGACTAAGTCAAGCTAGGCGTTTCCCCCGTTTCTTTTCATCGTGCTAAGCTAACATGTGCTGGCTGTAGCCTTCATTTATGAATCTATTTATATTTATTGGACTATATGAGAGCAAATTTGATAATGTCACTCGCCGCAATACATTTTATTTCGCAAAATATCATCCTATTGCGTTAACAGAGTCAATACTGTGTGTCTTTGCAACTTTCTTCACAGCAAAGTCAAAGGGTGCTTTCGTGTCTCATGGTGTCCTCTGCTCATATTAGAGTGACATTCTTTCTATCCTCCCAGAGCTCAGCTGGTGCTTAAGCCGGCGCTCATGAAAATGTCACTCAGTCTTCTGTGGCCAGGCAATTTGTCTAATTGGCTGCGATGAATCACGAAGAATCATCAAAAGGCGAATAAATCTGTGTCGTTGTTTGTTCGTATTACTCAGCATTTCATAAGTTAAAAAGAAGACTTTCAGCCGTGAGCATCTGCTTATAAAAACCATCAAAATTATTTCTCGATGTAATTTCCTCTGACCTTATTTGACACAATGTCAAGAGGTTTTCTCATTGACAAACCTCTATGGGCTTTGTTAACTGTCAGGAAGCACAACCAGCTGCTTGCATGTTTAATTACTTTCTGAATCCAGTTATATTATATGGAAACATGATAGGCATTTCAGCTCTGATTGGTCCATTTCATTTCAGCCACCTGGACCCATAACTTTTTTGTGAAGCAACAATGTGAAAAGAAAACTGTATTTTGAAAAACTTCTAAGGATTGCCATGTCATGATCAAGTATGGATGCTCCCACTGACCCTCTTTTTCATCCACATGGACTTTATAAACATTTTCTTGCATTATACAGACCTGTCTGAGGAACGCCTCCTTATTGGCCAACTCGTTCTCCAGTTTGTCGTTGATGTCGTGCACGGAGGTGGACTCTCGTTGGGCGCTCAGGTAGCGTTTTTCCAAAGTCACAATGCGCTCCTCCATGTCCTCTTTCTGACACATGGCCTGCATGCAGACACACATAGTCAGAGCAATCAGAGCAAAACGGAAATATGAAAACAAAGATGAGAGCATTCTTAAAACTATTTGGGCAATTTGTTCCGGTGTTAAGTATTTTGAAGAGTATGTTTCTGATTGCTGCACAGTGTGTTTCATATTTCAGCTTTATATTTGAGAGGTATGTGGCTCGGATTCTAGGTAAGGGAAGTTTTTGTGTAGCACATTTAAAAAACAAGGCAATTCTATGTTTAATAATCACAGAAGGATTAATTTACACTGCTCTAAAACTTAATTACAGCATGATTTGTGGACAAATAACTTTTGTTCTTGTATGTAAACACAAAGCGGTGCTGCAATGATGTTTTTGTTATCAGATTAGCTCTATGTATAACATGACAGTATAATCTACACCAGAAACATGTCAAATACCAAATGATAAACAATAAAGCTTAATAAATTAGAAATCACAATCTCACACTGCTGCCATGAAACATGAGGGCAACATTATCTCTGAGGCTCTGAGAGTTCATTTCCTGAATGACGCACACCCATGCGCCTGTGTTTTTTAAAACCACGTAGAGCTGAACAAACTGCTGCTCTCAGAGGAGGTAATAACACTGGGTTGGTCTGATAAGGCCGTATTTACCAGGCCACAATCATCATGTCTGCCTGCAATGTTAGCAATCAATAGCAATTCCAGCCGAGGGCTATATATCAGCGTGTATTCATATTCAGTCCTCTTCACTGGCATTCAAACTGACGACCACTGAATGGGCTTGTGATTGGGCTCCTTAATTGCACTGTACGACACAAACAGTCTCATTCGTCCCGTAAAGTGGCATTAAACTGTCTGTTTTGGTGCTTTACATTGCCAAACTCTAGATTGAAATGGTGCTTGAGATTCAAACAGTGGTAGCTGCTTGTTTCATTGTGTGTCATTGAGATGTGTATACTGTAGGTTGCCTACTGGCAGTGGTGTAAAATAACCAAGTAGGTTCACTCAGGTACTGTACTTAAGTACAATTCTTTACTACTTTGTACTTCCACTACAATATTTCACTTTTACTTCACTACATGTATGTGGTACCCTTAGTTACTTTGTAGATTCAGATATATGATTGTGAATGGGCCAATCTGCTGATTTTTTGGCGCTTAAAGTACATTAAGAGGCCAATACTTTGTACAATGTAACATTTTTAATACAGGACTTTTACTTTTAATAGAGTATTCCTACACTTCGGTATTTCTACTAAACTAATCGGATGAAGAGCCCCCCATATTTTAGCATGGCATGAAAAACGTATGACATTTTGCCATTGGAGACACTATCACATGTGATTAGAGGTTCTCCTAAGGAGCGCATACGGAAAAGGTATGATCTCCAATAGCAATATTCTTGCAAGGTACAGGGCTTATAAATGATATATAGTTCATTTAAACCCCATTTTGTATGGCTACACATTTTTTTTCTATGCTTCAGTGTTTGTTCTTGTTTTGTGGTTTTTAGAATCTCTTATCTTAACTGTTGGTATTTTTATTGCATATTTTTATAACTGTATGAAACAGGCTTTTTAATAATTGTGTACTTTAAAAAAGTGCCTTCAACTATGTGTTTGTGTGTGTGAGGAACACATGAATAGGGATTGTGAGAGCATATGTAAATAGAAGCTTTTTTTAGGCCACTGCTGTCTTTGATGTCTCTCTTGCAAACATTATTCCCCTGCAAATGTGTGTGTGTGTATGTGTGTGTGTGTGTGTGTGTGTGTGTGTGTGTGTGTGTGTGTGTGTGTGTGTGTGTGTGTGTGTGTGTGTGTGTGTGTGTGTGTGTGTGTGTGTGTGTGTGTGTGTGTGTGTGTGTGTGTGTGTGTGCTTCTCCCTGTCCCCAGCCTGTGTGTGCTGTAACCTCTTTGATGTCCCTCTGGTACTTGTGGTTCATCTCCTCCGACTTGATGAGGTCCTTCCGGGCGGTCTCCAGCTCCTGCTCCACCTCGGAGACCCGGGACGAGAGGGAGGACATGCGCTCCTTCATCTGGGCCAGCTCGTAGTTCTGCTTCTCCAGCAGGTCCTGCAGCTCCACCACCTGACCCGCATCGTGCACCGACTCCAGAGAGCCGTTGGACAGACGCTGGGGAGAGAGGAGCAACCTTTAGCTTTAGCTGGACAAATAGCTTACTCAGGAATCTGGCAACTGTATTTCTTAAAGATGTTAAAAATGTGAAATAGATAAGTAATATTATTTTAAAGATGAAATTGGTTATAATTTGTGAATTGAGTCCAAAGTGTACTATCAACAAGTTGTAATAATTTTAGTATTTTTTTTTACAGAATCATGATATTTTAAGAAAAAGTAGTTGTCATCATTTTTTGAATTGAGTAAAAACACAAATAAAAAGTCTGAATATTTTTAAAAGATTAAAGTCGTAATTTTTTCCCGAATAAATAAAACATGTTTGAGGGAAATAAGTTATTATACATCAGGCTTAAAGTAATACAAATAACGAAAAAAGTCATACAACTACTGTATGAGATCAAATTAAAAATGTTCATAGAAAAAACAAAAAAAAACACAGTTACAGAGTCCTCATCTTGGTTTTTAGTGTCATCTTCAGTGTCTTTGTTACTGCTGCAGTGTTCATTGATGAATATGTGCATGCTTGGCTTGTTATTATTTGGTATAGGACACTTAAATAAATAAAGTATACCACGAACAGCTCTTTTTCTTACAGATTTCTCTATTGAAAACCTGTTTTATCCACATTGAAACTAAAAGTTAAAAGTAACTGAACATCCAACTCTAGAAATAGGTATTTAACTTACATTAGCATGTGGAAATTAACCAGGTGGAAAACTAATTTCTGATTTCCTGTGATGCTCTCGCTTCAAGTAAGCCTTGAGAAATCAGCCTTGCTGCTACTTCAGATGCTATTTCTTCTTTTGAGAGGTACACACATTAGCACTCTAATAAATTCATGTCAGGGAGCCGACTCTGCCCCTGCTTTGATTTCAGATGGTGACAAAGACGACTGAGAATCACTCCAGACTCCATTGGAGAAATTGCTTTGACACTTGCATTAGAAATATGATTAGGTTTCGCTGAGTTCTCACTGCACGGGTCTCTGCATGAGGTAGATTAATGATGGGGAAACTAGAAAGATCTGACTTGAGGAAGGATTTGAGGCATCAGAAAACAACTCTGTGATATCAGCTAAACTAAACGCTTTTTAAATAGCAACACTTGGTCTTTAAGTTCAAATGTAATTATGGTAAAGCAAGTGGAAAGATTGAGTATCGTGATTTCTCTCTCTGTCTCTCTGGTGTTTCAGGCCCAGCTGCCTGTCCTCGGCCATCCATCTGTGAGGGCAAATCTAATTGGGTCCTCTGCCTGCTGCCTGTGATCAATGATAAACCCGGGCAGGGAACGAGACCCACTAAATCAGACGACCGATTTGAATATCACTGCCCCGGCACTCTCATAAAAAGAGCCAATTTATAGGTTTTAGCTAGATTTTATTGTAAAAATATCTTAACAGTCCCACAGAGGATACATTTTGCAAATGCGGAAACAATATTTATTTAGTCCTATAACATTTTAAACACCTGCTTCATAACACATAGTTTGAATGTTCTCTTTTTGTATTACCTGAGAGAAGTTTTACACCCACATGAGCAAATATATTTTGTTTCTGCAAAATTTGGCTGGGGATAACTGCTGACCCTCCCATTGGTAGAGGCCTATTTTTCAGTGGGGTTTATTTGACAGTGACTCACTCAAATATAAAACAAATGTGAATACTGTTCAAACCAACGAGTCAATCAAAGGCATTTGTGAATATGTTATTTAACATTTACAACTTTTGGTTAGGCACAATGTCTAAGGAAATCTACCTCTATATAACTATAATTTTCTCTTTTTGCTTCAGTTAGGTGTAGAGTAAGCCAGTCAATCTGTTCTATAAGAGTGATGGTCGATACAAATATTCCAGGACCTGCTGGATGTTTACCGAATAAAAAATGAAAATGGTGAAGCGGGCTTTGTCTGTCACACTGCATTAGCTGCTTATCAGCAGATCCAGGTCTGTGCTGAAGGTCTGAGAGCTCCATGGGTCAATACGCTCCTCATGAGCTTAGCTTTCTTGACTCTGACTCCTGCCCCCCCTCTCACTCAGCCCTCTCCACCTGTCACATTAATGACGCCTGAAGGACACGTGAGATGGAGAGGGGAGACGTTCACTTCTGCGTCCACGCTCTTCTCCTTGATGACAGCCGCTGTCAATTCAGTTCTGTTTTCCCCGTCCATCCAAAGATGCACTTTATGGTTTCCTCTTATCAGCAATGACTTGTTAAGTATAGTAAAAATGTTTGATTTCAATTCTAATTCAAATTATATTTTAGTTAAAGGGGTCTGATTATATATTCTCATCATTATTTACTATATAGAACTAAATCTAAGTTAATAGTTTGATCATTTGAAAGAAATAAATGAAACTGGGAGTTCAATATAAAAATGTTTGAATTTCTTTTTCAATTTGAATATTTTTTCGACCTTTTGAATATAGTTATTATTTTCATTTTTTACTTTCATATAAAATACAATATTTGAGGTATTTTTTTTTAAAGATTTTATGTTTTCAGATTCAGATATAATTGTTTAAGGTTTTAAATCTCGTCTTTTCAGTTTAAAATTCAGTTTACGTTTTGTACTCCATTGTCATTTGCAAGTGTCTCTATAATTTCAAGTGTCACCTTAAAATGATATCATTTTGTATCTGATCCCTGTCAGTCACTGCGGCTCACCTCAACACATTGCAGCTGTTCATCTACATCTCAAGTACATTTTGACTTAAATGGACTGTACTTATATAGCGCTTTATCCAGTCTTTAAGACCCCTCAAAGCGCTTTACATACTACATGTCATTCACCCATTCACACCCATTCATACAGAGCAGTGTACCTTACTCTAGGACCTAACATTCACACACATTCACACACCGTTGGCCATGCCATCGGGAGCAACTCAGGGTTAAGTATCTTGCCCAAGGATACATCGACATGTTGACTGCATGGGCTGGGATCGAACCCACAACCTTCTGGTTGAAAGACGACCACACTCCCTCACAGCCACAGTCGACTTAATTTTCTAGCCATCACCTGACTTTCTTCCCCCAACTCTCCCCCTCCAGTAAGTCATCAAAGCCTCTCCATTGATCCACCCAGGTATCCTGTGTAACATGTAGATGCCGTGTCTGCATTTTGAAGGATTTCTGCTGTGGGATTTGGGGTCAGCTGTTTTGGACTCTCATGTGGTGTCAGTTTTGTTAATGTGGAAGCAGTTACTCCTCTGTATATAAATTAATAACCAGAGAGAGATTTGTATTCAGTTATGCAGGTCCACGTGTGCTGCTGCATAATATCAGAGTGCTGAGGTCACTTCTCGCTGTGGGTCACCTTCACAACCAGCAGGGCTGAATGTATGGAAACCTTTTTAAGATTTTATACTGGCAAATAAACACCAGAAGGAACGCATTGAGCAGTCTGTAATACCAATAAACTGTGATTTTGACATTGAGGTAACTTGAAGAAAATAAATTAAAACTTAGACCTAATCTTTAAAAGATAAATAAATATGAGGTTTTTTGATATTGTGCATATATACATTATTTAAAAAAAAAGATTTTCAATGCATCCAGATCCATAGTGACAATTTAAGGTTTATGTCCAATGAATTGAGAATAGTAAATACAGTGTGTTGCTTGTATGTCTTGTCCTGTTCAGGAATGACATTTTTTTATTGTGTTCCTATTTTAAGCTCCTACTTAGACGAATGAAAAGATCATCTAGTTTGAGTCATATTAAGACACATTTTTGACAATTGTACTAGTCAGTCTAAAATGTAAGATTTGTTTTCTACTAGTTATGAGGTTTATGGTAGTTTCTTGTACTGGGTACATTTGGCAAACCAAATCGGTAAAATGCCTGCTTGATAAACAGATTTCATTTTGTGTTATATCTGCTGTGTGAGCTTAATAAACAACTTTTTTGCCTTGTTAAATTGATACTGAGCTTTACCAACTCCAGTCTGCTGACAAATGCCAAATGGTAAAAAGACTCTCCTCCTACACTGCCGCCAAAGTAAGGGAATAAAACAGTTTTGTCCATTGATATGTTTAAAACATAAAATATATTTTATCAGTGTGGTCAGAGAGGTCTCACCTTGCCATGGAGACTCTGTTGAGCCTCACTGCCCTCCAGTATGTCCTCTCCGTCCCCGGAAGCCACTTTTCTCTGAATGTGAGCATTTTGTTCCCGTAAGGCCACTATCTGCGGGACGGCAACAAGAACACAGATTAGAGCAGAAATAGACACACAAAGTTTATGTTGCAGTTAAAGAGAGCCGAGATAAAAACGGTTTAATATGTGTTATTGCATTTCCTTCAATGTGGCTTTGTGACACAAGCAGAACATGTTTAAACATCATGAACATGAAATCAGCATCAATAACTGTTCTTGTGTAACACCAGTTAATGACAGTATGTCCCTCTCTACAGGAATGTATGGAAGATGGCTTTAAGCGGCATGAAGCTGAAGAACGTGAGCACTGATACAATCACTGTAATTATCATGTTGTGTGGACAGAGTGTCTCGTTTCACTACCTTAAGATACTGTCCTTAAGTCATAATGCTGTCAGAGGGGTGACCGACAACAACCGTAATTACAGTAGCCTTTTCATCAACTGACACCATGTGATTATCGCTCTCCTCATCGCCAGGAAGAGAAAGACTTGGCCGCTACTTGTCTTTAATAAATAACTTGACGACCCTGAGACTTTGTGGTGCCTCTCGTACTTTCCAAAATAAGACTTTCAAGAACATGACACTTGTGGGATTGAGACAAATCATTGTAACTGAGCAAAAATGTCAACTTCTTGCGAGACACCCTCCTCTTACTTCAACGCATATTTGAATAACACTACAGTATTTGGTTTATCACACAGCCTCACTTCCCTCGAACCTCAGGATATACTTTTGTTTGCAATTTGTGGCAGTCAGTTAGTCTATCTCTTTTCCCTTGGTTTTTAGTGAATGTTGGCTTGTAACATAGAATTAACAATTGAGTAACAACGCTTACATTGCGTTATCATAATCTGAAAAACTGAATGAAAGAGGTACAGTAAGCAGGTCTGACACTAAGGACTATTTTTTTTTATAAGTTTTGGTTTTGCCTTAACATGTATGAAAGTGTGAAAAATGCCCATCCCAGTTTCTAAAAAGAGATGCCTTCCAATGTTTTGTTTTGTTTGTCAGTCCAAACCCAAAGATATTCCCGTTAAAATGAAATCAAACAGAGAAAAAGCAGCTCCATATTTGGGCATCTGGAAACATCAGTTACTGCCAATCTGCTTGAACAATTTATTGAATCAATATTTAAAATAGCTGGAGATTATTGAGTTTTTCCATCAACTAATCCATTAGTCCACTAATCCATTAGTCCACTAATGGGTTCAGCAATAGCTATACAGTAGCAAACTCCAGAACACAACAGCTAATACAAACGATAGTATATATTCTGTACTGCTAGCATGATGTAGTTACAGCTGAATCATGCTTCCTCCACTCCATACATTTCCAATAGCTTTGGAAACGCTTAAATCTCTGAAAACCCCAGGACTCTAAAAATCTGCATGTTATTCCTCTGTTGTTCTATTTTCTTAAAAAGGTCTTTCCAAGCAGTATTGATACAGTTTGTTTTAAAAAGGAGTTGACATTACAGTTACTTGAAAGTCAGCTTTGTTCAAAAACGCATACAAATATGCTCCTCCTTAGGAAGGGAGGGAATTCAATGAGACTGTTAAAATGACCTCGAGTCACTTTGACATAATTTGGTTTGAACTCAAATCTTAAAATGATTTTACAGACATGGCATTGTCATGAATTTTGAAAGGTGGGACAATGAAGGAATAATATCTCCCATTCAAAAGGCACAGGGTTAACTCTGGGGATACTTATGTTTCGGTATCATTATTCTGAGAGTGTTGGTAATTTCTCCACCTCACAGATCAAACACTAACCCCACCCCTCACAGAAAGGTACAACAAATGAGCTGGAGACGCACCTCCAGCTCTGAAAGTACAAAGAAGGAGAAGTTTGATGCAAAATGAACATGGCGCCTATAATTTCTTTTTTTTATGTGGTTGATCTACCTCTCATCAAAAGGCAGACATCTGACGGAGGACAAGTAGCACGAGTCGGGCCTTTTTACTGCACCGCTTCGTGATTTCCTTATCTTTCCTTAGCACTTCTGTGTTGGGTGGAGAGGACTGTCTGAGGTAATGTGATGAAAGAGAGATTGGACAAATGTGAAGAGGAATGAAGGGGGGGTTTTGGGGGAGTTTCTCAGAGTATGAAAAATCGATTTTGTCAAGGTGAGAGCTGGGAGTATGTTGCTAGGCGCTTAAATTACAATCAATCATGCACTTTGGAGCAAATGCATGTACACAAATATTCACAGACATATATACACAAGTCCTGAAATACTTCTTATTTAGGAGCAAAAGGAGTTCATTCTGTTTTTGTCTGAGCCTGTGTCACCTGGGGTTTCCTTTGTAAAAGATGAGAGCTATCACTCGGGATTAGATCAGGCAAGATAAAAAAAGAAAATGTTATCTCCGACAATGTCTTCCATCTTAAATAGAGATGTGATCTCATGGCTGTCTTTCTTTAAAAAAAATAGTAATCAAATCTAATGAATCTTTCTCAAGAAATTTAGTAAATCACTTTAACGTAAAACTTCAAAATTTGTTTTAAAAGCTCTTTTCCGCACACAGTTTTGTTTATTTTGCATGAAAGATTTCTAAATCTGCTGTTTTTCTGAGCTCCTCTAATGTCAAATACTTTATTAATATTATTATTATTATAATTATTATAGTATTTAAATCAAATCTGAAAACAGTTGTTGGGTTGGTTGCTTGTATCAACAGGCTTCTCATGTCAATCAAACTGACTTTTTAAACTTTAATCTCTGATTAAATGAAAACATTGTATGTACTTTTGCCTATTCGGTCATGAATATTCAATATCATTAAGTAACATTTATCATGGGAAATAAGGCTTTCAAGGGCTTTAAATAAAGAATATTGTTGGACTCAACAATGAACAAACATTGCTTAATACAATATTTTTATAGTGTTTATCCCATTATTATTTTATCTCTTTCTAATTGTCAAGAGACTTTGGGTGAAAATTAGCTGTAGCACGTTTACATGTTAGTTTTACAAAAAGTGTCACAGTGTTGATTAATATCCACTGTCCCCTATAAACAGTTTGTTGAGCAGTTAATTGAACAGTTTATCTTCAGATAGATTCCAACACAGTGGGTATTTCAGTTTGTTCCGTAATATCAGATTGCAATCAGCAGCAGTAATCAGCTGGTGGCCACTTAAACACCCATGAGTTTGAGAGGTCAGAGGTCACTGATTACATCTGGCATCATGACGTTGTCAAACCCCCCGTGGGGACTCAGACCTCCATCACAAATCAATTACCGCTCCGCCTCCCCGGAGCCTCTGAAGTGTGGCTTTTCTTCTGAAATCCTGTTTCACTGCCTGGAGTTCCAATCCCTCATCTGTCCTCCGCTCTGACAGCTGTACTGCTAACTGTTCACTTGAGGCGATCACATGTACAGTCTCTAACCTGTGCAATGTGAGGAAACCCCACAAAGTGCTACACCCTCCACTGAGATGTCTGGCAGGTACTTTACAGTTAAAAAGCAGACGTTCTCATGAAGCTGTAAAAGATAAATGCTTTTGGAACAAGCAGCCTGTCATATTCTTTTTTTACTTTTCTAAAATGTCCTCCCTTTCTGATCGTACAGAATCTAAATTAAAATAGTGACTGTTGCAAAATCATCAAATTAAGATGACATTATAAGGTGTTTACTGAGTTGGATGGTGCTTCTTATGGTATTTATTTTTAATTCAACATGTTTAAATAGTGATATGCACAGTAGAAGATGTATGTAATAGAAAGATATTACACTCACTTACTTACTTGGTCCCATGTCATGCTTTAAATGTAAACTTCTTAAATGTTGTATGTGAGGGACTGCGGATGGAAATTAGCTCAAAGCTAAATCTGGCACTGTTACGCTTGACACATTTTAATGTTTTAAAGGTCCCACGTCATGCTTTTCCGGTTATTACCCGTCCCCTTGTGTGTTATGAAGGTTTTTATGCATGTAAACGGTCTGCAAAGTCACAAACCCTCAAAGTACACCCTGTAGCGAGTAAAACTCTAACACAGAAAATACCTGTCTATTCTGCCCAGAACGCCTCGTTGGAGATTTCTCTTTTTCCATTGTTTACTTCTTGGGTATAGTGACGTATTTGGGTATAGTGACGTAATGTAACGGCTCCGCGGATTGGTCCATTTGGACCAATCTACGTTACGTCCGCGGAGCTCTACTATACAGAGATGCTGTATGAGAAACCAATATGAGTTTGGAAAATTGCACAATATAAATATATTCTAGTAGACCTCAACAATGGAATTATGATCAGTAGAAATGGCCATGACATGGGACCTTTAAGAATATCATTGTGTGATTCTTATTTGCTAATGTTTATCTATATGTACTACTTCTCACACTTCTTAACTAAGATTGGGAAAATTCCTTATTAAGAAGATGTGTTGCAATGTTGTTAGTTATTACATTATGTGCACCAACAGTATGACATTCAACATCCTGATATGGCCTCCCTAACTCCCTAAACTTCCAGAATGATCCTTTTCATTTATAAATAAATTCCCACCACAATGTGAAGGCCTAAAAAGTTATGCATACATATGTTTTATTTATACAAATAGTTTCTTATAATCATGCCATCTGGGATTCATGTTGATTTGGCACAAACAACCGTTTACATTTTTTTAAAAAATTTGATTTCAAACTTGGTAATGAAGTAAGGTATTTCTCACTGTAGCCCCCTTTATAAGGCCTGAATGCAACAACATCACAATAACGCACAGGGGGAAGTATCTAGAGGCACATTAATTACATCTGCAGTACCTCAATAATCCTAAATAATAATAATCCTTAAAAGACAAAGTGCTTAATTTGTTTGACAATTTGACTGCAGCCTTGAACTCATACCCTAAAGCAACTATCGAAAAACCAAAGAACAGTTTGCCTCTCGGACCTTCCTCTCGTCTGCACACCTTGTCAGCCGTGCTCCTCTGACCCACTCATTAACACTCATTAACACACACACACACACACACACACACACACACACACACACACACACACACACACACACACACACACACACACCCACACCCACACCCACCCACAATCTGCCGCTGCTTCCCACCTGCCGTCTCTATTTCTGTCCTTGCTCTTTTTGCATTTCCTCCTCTGTCTGTCCTTCCACCCACTCCGCACGCCTCTACCCAACCTTTCCCAAGCTGATTTTCTCTCCCCTTTCTCTTCTCCTCTCCTTCTCCTCTCCTTTTCCTCTCCTTCTCCACTTTTATTCTAGGCCGGAGTGTCAGACTGGCATGTCTGACAGGCTGTGAAGTGCCAGCCTGAGGGGCCCCCCCTCATCTGGAACATGAGTGTCTGCAGTGCAGGCGCTGTTCTCAGAGCTGTGTGTGTGTGTGTGTGTGTGTGTGTGTGTGTGTGCAAAACATGCAAAAGTCCACTCTCGACTGTCGCTATACCGCCTCAAGCACATCGTACAACCATCACTTATTTTGTTATAGTCAACTATCTGATAACGGTTAAAGCAAGTGGGTGGAGTTGAATACCACATTTAATAGGAGAAACTTCACAGTATGTTACATGTCCTTCCGCATACAAGCAAGTACATACGTGTGTACGTTATGTTCTGTGAGTTGGGAATTTGGGAGCATGTTTACATGTACAGCAACACATCTTTAATGTCAAATAATTTTCTACGCGAAATATATAGTTATTATTTTTAAGGCTGCTTTTGTACTTACGTGTATACCATTTACTTCTGGCATTGTCCTGAGCATTTTTATCATTTATTTTATGTTATTTATTGGTTTTCCATTCTTTCTGATAGCATGTCATGTTCATTATATATACATTTGAACTCCTGTCAAATGCTGTTTCATGCTATGTCCTCAATTGTTTGTGCTCTGTAAGTAGCTCTTTTGTTTGCTATTTCATAGTTTCCAGTGCTTTTACTTCACTGTTGTGTCTGATATTTCTGCACCTTCCTCAATACATCTAAAACAAAATATTCTAGTACCAGTTTAAATTCTATATTTTAGAATGAAAACACCTGGTGCGCTACTCTGGCATGTTGCTTAAAAAGAACTATCAGAGCGTTTCGAACTTGACTTGAGATTTGAATATTACCCACCTTTTTTATCCTAGATGAAACCAGCTGTGAGCAG